TCTATGTATTCTAATAAAATCTGGCATCTTGTAGAACTTTCTAGTAGGGTGATACCTATGGAAGGCAAGTTAATCTACAAAAGGATATCAGAAGATTTCTTAGTGAATGAACCATGTGTGTATAGGGTAATGTCATTATTTTTCTAATTTTATATATGTATTAATGACATCTTACTCATTTAGAATGATGTGGAAGTTTAGTTATCATTAAAGAGGTAGTTGTTCAATTACTTTGGAATGAAGTATTTTTAAAATGTAAGATATATTCCTAGGATCAAGCTTTTGCAAGATTAGGTTAAAAGGAAAATATGTTTATCTTAACAATCCTACATTGATAAAGTTTAGACCAAGTTTGGTATGCAAAACTCAAATAATAAGTTCTTGCTTTATTGATATGGATTGTTGTCTCTAGTTAGTAGTTTTCCAAGACTAATAGAGGAGATTGAGCAAATGAGACTGGAATAATATGCTTCGGCATGTAGGAGTATCACTTATACCATGGTTTATAACACATAAGACATCCGCTATAATGTAGGGAAAGTCAATAAATATCAATCCAATCTTAGACTTGATAACTGGTCGGTTGTGAAAAATATCATAAAGTACCTTAGGAGAACCAATAATCTCATACTCATTTATGGATCGATATGATGATGTGGTCCCAGTTGGGTATGCTAGTTTTGATTTTTAATCAGATGTAGATATTATAAGGTCCATGACTTGGTATATATTCACTCAATGGAAGGGAAATCAATTGGTAGATTGTTAAGCAGATTTCAACTGCTGACTCAAACCTGAAGGTGGAATACATTACAGCCTTAAAGGCAGCATAAGAAGCCTTTTGGTTTGATTTCATTGATTTACAGGGTTGTGGAGCATACTAGCCTGCCTATCGAGTTATATTGCGACAATAGTGCAGAAGTAGTCTAAACCTATGACCCAAGGTTCCATAGAGGAACAAGGTACACTGAGAGGAAGTATCATGTCCATGATATTGTCTGGCAAGAAAATGTACTCGTGGCTAGAATATTGCATTGGAATACAACTTTGTTGATCCATTAAAAAATGTGTCATTGATCAATAGTTTTGATCGTCACCTAGATAATATTGGAGTTAGATGCAATTTGAATTGGCTATGAGGGCAAGCGGGAGCTGTTAGGATTTATATGCCCTGGCATAGCAAATTCCTATGTGGATTATATTGACACATATTCTTGACATATTTGAAATATTTATGATTTATATAATTGATGAATTTAATTTATTATGTTTCGATTCATTATAGAATTGATAGTGCCCACTTGATTACAAGAAATATTTATATATATATATATGATGGCAATCAATACATGAATATAAATAGTAATCTTAAATTGTTCATAGTCGGTAATTATGGATGGACTCATTATTAACTAAGACTTGAATTGGATCCGCATTAGGTTGAGATATATTGCGAGAGCCATTGTATGCAATTGAGAGAGCCATTGTATGCAATTGCGACATATCACTGTCATGGCATTTGACTCTTAAGTATGAGAGAAGTATAGACTCTTTTATTAATTAGTAATTACTTTGATTTGTTCAGCGGAATCTTCGAAATCCTTAGATCGGCACTTTGGGTAATTATATAATTAATAATTAGAGAGTTATATTTTTAATATTTGCATCATTGCTACTTGTATTTATTTTGTATTGATTATGGTTGATCACAAAGTAAATTCGAATGCCTTCGTGTGTTTTTAGATAAAATGATTTATTATATATTTATTTATTTAAATTATTATTTTTGTCAAGCAAATGTTTTATTGTGATCGACCCAGAAATAATCAAAGGTACCAAAATAAATATATTAATTAACTAGTCGGATTGATGACTTTATTTATCCGATAACTAATTATGCATAGAGGGGTCAAAGTACAACATTAACTTAGAGGTTATTTATTATTTAATTAGAGTTCAATTAATTTCTTTTAGTGGAGTAGAAATTAATTAATGAATTAATTTAATTGGGTCCATAGACCGGACCAATTATTAATTTATTGTAGCCAATAAAATAATAAGTCCAAATGATTCTCACTCATAGCCCAACTTGATATTGGAATCTTATTAGATTTGAGATATGTGAATTAGAGATTGAGAATGATTTATTGTTTACTTTTCTTATCTTTATTTTGCCTATATAAACATGGGTTCATATATATTTTAGGTGGGACTTTGAGAGGATAACAAAATATTTTTCTCTCTCTAAATTTTTAGTGTTGGTGTTCTCATTTAATGGAGGCTCCCACAAGCTTATTTTTCCAAGGTTATTCATAGAGGCTTATGAGTGATTCCTAAACCCAAAACTATTACCAAGAAGATGGAGATCCAAGGAAAAGGCATCTAGCAAAGGGATCTACAATAAGTGAGAACATTCACTTTAGAGGAGAGATTTAAGGTTTACTCAAATCTTGATGTAAGTATTCAATCTATCAATTGAATGATACATTATCATATTTTATTTTTGTATAAAACTTGTCTCTACGTGATGAATCAGGATCTATGTATGAAAAACCCTCAAAAAGTTTTTAAAACTTACACGTTTCCCGACAGATTATATACACTTGATGCAAAACCAGTGCTGTATAAACACTACACAAACAGATGTTATCTCTGTAATTCAGAATGGGAATCTATAGATCATCTCTTTTTTAAATGTGTTTACACTTCACACATTTGGAGGTTTATCCAAGAAACTACTAGATTTTACATCATGCCAAACAGTTGGGCTGACTTACTACTTAATTTGGTGCTCAATACACTAGACTTCAACAAAATTCTTGCTTCACAAGCTACTTTTGGCTACTGTAGTTTACTTTATTTGGATGGAGAGAAATGCTAGAGCATTCAGGAATCAATCCTCCACTACCCACAGCATCATTGCTTAGATTAAGACCTGTGTAAGAAGCAGACTTGCCTCACTCAAGCTCAGAAGTAGCTCACAATTGAAGCTAATCTCTTCTCCCTCATAGCTATAGACTCTCTTCCATCAGGGCTGCTCCACAACTGGTGGTCAGCCCTGGAACCTATTCTAAGCAAGGGCGATGATGGTTCAGGGTTAAACACTGCCATGATAGAAGGATGGAGAAGGTGCCTTGTTTTTGCAGATATTGTCTTTGTTTTATGCTATTGTTTACTTTGTAGTTGCAAAAGAAGTTGTTGTTCCTTTTGTTTTCTACTTTGTGGGATTGTATGTACACTTCACAATTATTTATATAAACAAGCTTACCCTCTAAACTAACAAAAAAAAAAAGGCTGCTATATATGTTTTGGTAGAGTATTTGTAACCATCCGTTATACCATGTTATCGTTGCAACAATTGTAATGAATAATTGTTGTCGTTAAGGGCTATTACAGGTTCAACATTCATATAGTTTCAGCTTACATTGCCACATGGTTTCTTGTATTGAAGATTATTTACTATTCCAATTCAGGAAACAAAATCAAAACAAAAATTTTAAATGTATTTTCTGTTTTGTACTTTCAATTTTTTTAACAATAGTTTTTAATTAACCTGATTTTACTTCCTCAGCTCTAACAAATCAAAATCACAATTTTGCTTTCAGGGATAAAATAGTGAACGGGCCTTTATTAAGATTTACGTATTTACTTTCTCCAACGGGAGTAACCTTTAATTGAATCCTAAGGAGATAGAAACCTAAGAATTTTTCAAACCAGTTTATTTTTGGAAGAAGATGCTCCTAAAATAAAGCTACTATTAATTATATTACATTAAGGATAATGTAGAGTTGGTTAAAGTTTTCGATACAATTCCATTTTCATTTGTCCTAAGATTTTTAAATTTAGTTACCAACATTTGAAATACAGAAATTTTGACTGAATTTATACCTTCATTTACCTTCTCTAAAATTATTTGAACTTCTCCGCAAAAGAATAGTTAAAAATTAATGCTACCAAGTCTTGGTAGGATTGACAATGCCGGTGAGTCTCACAGCACTCCCACTTTATGAGACGGAGGATTTAATCTGCCAACTCAATCCTTTAGGCTTTAGTGGTTCTCAGAAAGCAGGGTAGCTAGCTAGATAACAAGTTGATAGATGAAAATGAAGGCTCAAAGTTGACCAACTGATATTTGACATTATTTGCATATCCTTATGATTAACCTGTAGATTCTGATGTACAAGCAGGACCATGGGAAGGTGGCAAAAGGAATCAAAGCCATCCAGGAAAAGTGTGCTCAAACATAGGTTATATGTACACATAATATTGTAGCAAGTCTTCAGCCAATGTTGAAGTCTTCCAAAACCCTACCCCAGTAGTGGGACTGTCAACTTTGAATGTGGAGAGAGAATAAATGGGGAATCGGAAGCATGTGCGTGTTTGATGGTCAAGAAAATAGGAGAGAGATAATTCAACACGTACAAAGAATTCAACACTTACCCTTCATTCCCCTAGATAAGTTTTTTCTTAAAAATTCTCAATAAATGCTAATTTGAGTAAGAAAAATTCTCAAAACATGCTAATTTGTGTTTACTGAACAAGTTGAGCTCGAGCTTCAGGAACAGTTGGAAACACACTTGATCCAAAGTCTACTCAACTATGGCTCACTAGCTTGACTTGCTTGAGCAGTGCTTGAACAACCAAAAGTTGGGAGTTGGGACTCCACTTGATTACTGTCCCCTACTTGATATTCCACTTTGGATAAACAAATAGGTTTGAAATTGAAAATAGAGCGTTAGGACAACTTAAGGTGAATCATGACCATGTGCCAAAAGCAACAACGTATATGATTCCGTATTCAGTACCGACTGTACCATGGGACACACGTACACTATTTTTCATTAAAGAAAAGCCCAAACCATGCCAATCTCTCACGCGCCTATATGGCTATATATAACCATTTACTTACTCTTTGGTCCCTCAAACCAACTCAGTTCTACTATACACACTCAAACACAACCCTTTCTTCTTTTTCTTCCTATAGAGTAAAGATCAAAAAGATGCCGGAAGACAAGAAGATGAAAGCTAAGAAAGGATGGCTTGCCGTCCGAGTCGGATTGGAAGATGAAGATGGAGGATTTCAGCGATTTGTCATCCCGATATCATACCTCTACCACCCTCTCTTACAAGACCTCCTCGACAGAGCTCATGAGGTTTTTGGGTACCACACCACCGGTCCACTTAGGCTACCGTGCTCCGTGGATGATTTTCTTCATCTCCGATGGCGGATAGAGAAGGAGGCTAATAATCACCACCACCACCTTCCAAGCTCTTTGTTCTTCAACTCTTGTTGAAGAGCTGACTTTGCTTTTTTTTTTTTCTTTTTTGTTTTTTTCTCGACCGATGAATGGTAAAGTAAATACACACTCTTTTTCCATGGAAGTAGAACCAGTCCCCTCCTCAAAGAGGATAGGGATTAACGCAAAGTGAAGTAGTAGAAGCTACCCATCAACATTGTTATCAGATCTATGGATGATGAATAAAATTTGTCAATCATATGTACGTAATTGTCCTCTCTATATAAAATATTAATTGCAATAGTTTTATATACTTAATTTGTATTTTTTTTTTTTTTTGGCACTACTTTTCAAATTTTGTTTGAGGTTTTAAAGCAAACATATCAAGTTTAATATATTGAGGGAGAATCTACTCTAATTTAACAATACTGATTGAAAATGTTCTATTCAATTCCAGGTAAAAATATAGTGCATTATATTTCCACCATATGCCCAAAAAGTGGTTGTAAGCTGCGTCTACAAGATGGTTAAGTAATTGCTTAATCAATTTCTTATATTTCGCACTACAAGATTCTGATCTTTCTTGCACCACTTTTCCCTGTAAAAGCACCATAACCAAAGCCCGCATATATAGTTGAAGTTTACAATTTTTAAATTTTTAATTTTGGTAGGATGAGGTCTACGATTGTCTTATAAAAATTATTCTCAAATAATCGATCTGTAGTGAAAGCTGTCATTATGGATATGATGCTCTGATAGGCTGGCAAGAAAAGCTGTACGAGTTGCACGTTAACGGTAAGTGGAACCTACTCTGATTCAGCAAACGCCATTAGTGAAGATGTGTCTGGTTGTTGTGGCTATTTTTCTGGGCTCTTTACCCATAAAAATAAACGGAATTTTATTTATGTGACAAAATTTGAGCAGCAACGTTTCTGTTTTTTTTTTTTTTTTTTTTTTTTTTTTTTAAGTAAATAGGTAAGCTAGCAACTGTTTTCTTATTGTCAAAGTTTATTTTTGTCAACTCTTGTAGGCCCTACTCACCATGTTTCTTACATCTTCACTTTTATTATATTGATCTCACTGCACAGAGGCATAATCCTAATTTGGGAGTCATAGTACAAATGACAAATTCACAATTGGTGTACCATTATTAAAGTTGTCGGTAAATTAAAAGTGTATATGACTCTTTCATAAAGATGAAAAAAGAAAGTAACCTATTTAGAATGTGATAAAATTATTTTCTCTGAAAAAATTTGAATTGTAGTCACTGTCGGCTATGGTGTAACTCGTCTGAATACATGTATAAATAGGGAATACGTAATTTTCATGTAAGCTAAGGAAATAAAAAGTAAAAGCAAATTATTTACTACTATATGATAAAGAAATAATTGACACGTCTTTTAAGATAAAGATTATGAAATTCAATTCAGAATGTTTTTCATTTTTGTGATATGCTGAAAAGATGATCATTTGTATCCTTTGAGTTAACTTTCTTACTATATTTAGCATTAAATTTTGACTTCCCAAAAATTTTCCTGAATTTCCTAGTGAGAAAAGTTATTCCTTTTCTAGTCATACATATTATTTGCTACTTGATGATGGTAAGAAAGTATAGTCATAGAAACTCACATTTTAACTTTATATAAGAAAAATTGAGAGTTTTTATGAAAAACTATATATGGTTGTCCATTGATTGAGGATATTGCATAATAAATACCTCTTGGTATTGTAGACATACGTATTTTCAAGATCCTTTGCTATTTAATTAGTTAGCATAAAAGTTTGCTTGATGTACCTAATACTCCCATCTCATGCATGAAAATGCATGGGGTGAATATTCTACATAAATTGTTCCATGTTCAACGATCAAATAGTTTCAGCTTACATTATTACATAGTTTCTTGTACTGAAGATTACTTACTATTACAGTAACAAAACAAAAATAAAAAAATATTAAGGGTGTGTTTGGTTGCATTGAATTAGAGTCTTCGAATTAGAATTTGAATTGGTTGAATTCGAGAAAATTTTGATTCAATTTTCTTAGTTGTTTCTCTTCAATTCCACAAATTCTAATTTCATTGCTCCGATTCTACACAATTGTAACACACCATAAATAAATTTTCTGGTTTCTACTCCAAGTTTCTAACAATGGCTATTAATTAACGTGATTTCACTTTGTGTTTCGGCTCTAACAAATCAAAATCATGATTTTGCTTTCGGGTAAAATAGAAGCACGAATCAATCCCAATTAGTGAACAGACCCTTAATAAGATTTACGTATTTACTTTCTTCAATCGGAGTAATCTTGAATCCACGAATAGAAATCTACAAAATTTTCAAACCACTTTATTTTTGGAATAGACCAGCCACGGATCCCATATAGGCCCAGTGGGGCCAATTGCCCCCACTAAAAAAATTTTCTTTTGCATTTTATACCTATTAATTTTGTATTTTTGATTTATATATTTATAAAATTTAAATTTTGCCCACCACGAAATTATAGAAAGACTTCACTAATACCCTCACGGACAATATTTTTCTGTTAAAAACCGCCCCCACCCAGATATTTCTCGCAATCTGTCCCTGGAATAGATAACATATGGCTAGTATTAATAATATTACATTAATATTAATGTAGAGTTCGTTAAAGTTTTAGATACAGTTCCATTTTCATTTGTGGTAAGATTTTCAAATTTAGTCATCTACATTTGAATTTTTTTGACTGAATTTATACTTTCATTTACTTTCTCTAAAATATTTTTGGCTTCTTTGCAAAAGATAAGTTAACAATTCTACCAAATCTTCATAGGATTGACATTGCCCATGAGTCTCACAATACTCCCACTATATGAGACGGGGGATTTAATTAATCTGCCAATTCAATCATTTTGATAACAAGTTGATAGATGAAAATGAAGGCTCAAAGTTGACCAACTGTGAGCAGTGAGTTTGTCCCATCAATATTGATTTTTGTGACATTATTTGCTTATCCTTGTAATTAACCTGCAGATTCTAATGTACTAGCAGGACCATTGGAAAGTGGCAAAAAGAATCCATGCTCTCCAGGAAAAGTGTGCTCAAACAAATTTTCGAAAACAAAAAAGTGTGCTCAAACATAGTTTATATATACACATAATATTGTAGCAAGTCTTGGCAATGTTTTAGTCTTCCAAAGCACAACCCCACTAGTGCTAGTGTCAACTTTGAAGTTGGAGAGAACATAAATGGGGAATCTGAAGCATGTGCATGTTTGATTGTCAAGAAAATGGGAGAGAAAATTCAACACGGACAAAGAATTCAGCACTTACCCTTCGTTCCTTATTGGACCTTTGGCAAGTTGCAGTATATAGGGAAAAATTTCGAGTCAGATACATTATTAGTGCGTCAATTGTTGTACAATGACATGATATGTAAATACTCCGTTGAAGTATCACTCAAATATAACTTTCTTCAAATCTTCATCGGGAAGCATTTTTGCACCATTCCAATGGATATGAAGACTGAAGTCAACCACTTTGCTGCCATTGAACCATCATTATTTTTATTTATTTACTTACTTTATTTAGGATTGACCATCATTTTCTACCTCGTGTTTTGGAGACGTTTTCTACCTCGTGTTTTGGAGACCAATGGAATTTCAATGATGGGATTATTGACATTTTATGTTAATTGAATACGTGGTTGGCTGTGCTTTTATATGTATATTGTAAATGTTTATTCCATTTTTTTTAGTCCAATAGAAAGACGATGTGCGGTGAATTTCAATAAATTTGTCATATTGGATTAGTACTTCACATATCCAAAAGAGAAATATATGATGTGGTATTGTTGAAAATAAATGATATGTGATCCACCAGTAAAGAAGAAGTATATGACGAGTTCTAATAGGACTTGCCACGCTAGATCGCAATCTTGATAAAATTCTATTTAGAATACTAAAAGTACGTGATCTTATATAAAAGCAAGGGATAGGTGGGTCAATTAAAGTTCACCACATGGAGTTTTCCATTTTAAAAGGAAAGAGGCAAGTCCAATGAGGGCTTGCCATCTTTAAAGCAAGAGCTCGCATTTTTCCTATTTGGAATGGAAAGATTATTACATGGAAGTATTACACTACATGCACCCTCATGCAATCATCCAAGTCAAGGTTTATCCAACTTGTTAACACATGCCAAATACTGTGGGATTTACTACAACTTATCAATTCTTTTAGGAATTATTATTAGAGAAAGTCTTCATGTTTCCAAAAGAGTCCCAAGTAATGGGAGTTTACCAAAATTGGGAAGATTGAAGTTGTCTGAGCTAGGAAAAAGAGAACATGTGGGCTAGATTTTCTCCTTCTTTTTAGGAGACTTCGATAAATTGTCCAAGCTAAGTCAAATGTTGTTGCTAAAATTAAGCAAGACGTGGAGGCCAGTCTGTTTCTATAAATATATATAACATATATATATATATATATATATATATATATATGTGTGTGTGTGTGTGTGTGTGTGTGTCAGATTAAACCCACGACGAATAAGCCACTGAAATCAAGGACTCCATGGCACCATGGATTCTAAACCCAAATGCGGAAAAGATTAAAGAGAAGTGGCTAAATTGAAGGGACGTGGGGGTAATGTATATTTCTATATATATATATATATATTACCCACTAAGAGAAATCGTTGAAGTCTTGGGGCCATGACGCTATGACTGAAGAAATCAAATAGGAAAGTTTAACAAAAGAAAATTGCTAGAGATAGTGGGATACTTGGTTTAACACAAATAGTTCAGTTGAAAGTGGTGGTACTTCATATCGTAATTACCACTAACTGAGGGAAGTTGTTGAATCACGGGTGACTAGGCTAATCGTGTGTGAAAGAGAAAGAGATCTGTGACAGAGAAGAAGAATATAAAGACGTGGGACATATGTCAATTTGTAAAGAGGACAAGTGGAAAGTTACTTCAAAAGTATACACACAACTTGAAATCGTGGAAGACATGGCTGAAGATACGCTCAAAATAAACAAAGAGGAGGAAGAAGATGATTACAACTGCCAAGAGATCATGGGACA